CAATCCTAGTTGCTCAAAGTTCGAAAAAAACTCACAAATCTTGGAATTTTTTTCTTGGTATAACTTCTTCTCTTGGTATAACTCAGATAATCTTATGATTTCAATGTTATCAAATCTTTTATTTTAGAACAATGAAGATACTGGAAACTATCTTCACATCAATTCAATGATAAACTTCCTTTGCAGCGCTGTGGAGTTAACTGTAGCAACAATCTCATCCTACAGGTGTGCAAAAGATAACTTCACGAAATCACCGCATCAATGTGTAGAACTACTTCGAATTTCGGGCTATTTCGGCTTAGCCCAATTCATTTTGCATCCCTTATGGCTGTTTCCACAAGCAAGTATCATTGTTCAAAATTACAAGTGTTTTGTGCTTTTGTTTCGAGGCAAAGCCAACAACTTACACGAAGGTGAAGTTCAGGAGTTTAAGGTTTAAGTCCAATTTCCAGCTCAACATGAACAAGATATGAGCCATGATATTACTACTATGGTCGAAATTGATCTGAACCACGGCTTCTGTTCTGAACACCGATGCCAGCTTCTGTTCGCAGTGACCCAGACGCAGATTACACGCAGATGGTCATCTGGAACTGTGCCAGATCTGAAAATGCATTGGAAAACCGGTGTTCCCACATCAACCACATATTGTACCCAAAAGCAAAACAGGAAAAAAGAACTGTGGTCAAAAGATGTGTAATGAATGCGGCGACAGAATCAAAAGAAGTTCGTCCGTTTTGCGGGGGAACAGTAATGGCATTTGAATGATTCTAAATTTACCAGAAAAATACTTACGTGAAATTATAACTGTAACTCAGCTGATTTTCCACATGACATAGATTCCAAAATGATTTTCCCCAGACATAGCATTAATTGTAATTTCACCTTTTTGCTAGAACACTGAAACTTCATTGATCGAAATGGAAAAAAGTGAATTACGATCTAAATTATTAGTTGCTATCAAACAATGAGGGTCATTTATAAAATCGAAATGTGTGGGGTCTGCTAAATTTCAAGATTTTCCATTTAATCATATTCCTTGTTTCTACACTAGCAGACAAAACTAAGCGCAAATTTATGTTTTTTCTTCTAAAATTCCTGTTTTCGAGGATGATTTTGGACAATTTTTACAAAGAAATTATACACAATTTTTACATAAGCCAAGAGCAAATGATCAGAACTGCCCTCTAGCAAAATATGAAAATTCAGTTTCAAAAAGTTACCAGTTTCTTCCGGGTTTAAAATTGCCAGTTTTCACCATCGGCAATCAATTTTTTCATCACAGTGAACTCTTTCTCGAAAAAAAGCAAACTAAAAAATTCGTCATTCGACGGAAACTTTCTCCGCGAGAAAGCTGAAGTAATCAGTGCAATAAATTTACTAAACTAACTTGGTGCAGATGATGAAAACAGGCGGAAATGCTTCAAATAAAAAATTGACGTTGTAGGAGTGCGCAGTTTAGATCATTTAGTGTCAGTCGATGTATTTTTTTAATATACGGTAAATATTGACCAAAACTGTCCAAAACTTTTTTCAGAGATTGAAACCTGAATTTACGTTTAATTTTGTCAACAAGACAAGAATCATAACAGTTTCAAGTTTTTGTATTCCCAAAATTTAAGTCAAGTAACGACTGTCATTCTTGCGTGTTGTCCGTTTTCTGTTGCATACGGTCGTTGCTGGCAACGTATAAATTCCATGATGTTCTTGAGACCGTGCCTCAAACACTGCAGTGCAGAGCCGGTCGCCTGATGTTGCTATTGCAAAACAAAAACGAAAAAGGGATGGGTTGTGGTGGGTTGTCACTTATGTTCGTTTTAAATTGAATCCAAGCGAGTGTGTTAGCTTGTCAAACTATATTTAAGTTGAGGTCGCTGACTGTTGATGGGAGGTTCGTAGGCTGTCAAAAAGTGGTTTATATTCTGTCCTGATTTCGTTTTTTTTGTGTTGGGTAAGTAAATGCAAATTGCAGTCTGCTGACTGAAAGAGCTGGTTAGTTGTTCCCTGTGATCATTTTCCAAAACAAATGGCTGCTGTTGCAAGGTCAGATCTGCTGCTTTAATTTAATTTTCTCTGCAGATTTAATCTTGATGAGGAAATGAAACTATCGTGGATTTAGTAGTCGCAAGTGAGCCAATGACTGAAACTGTTGAGGCTGGGCTGCTGAATCTGAATGTTGATGATGTGCTCGGCAAAATAAAGTCGCTCAGTGTGATGAAGTTTGTGAAATTGATTGAATAGAAAAGTTGAGGTCCTTCGTGAATCCAAATGACCGAAACATTTCCACAAAATTGCAATTTAACGACGAAAATTCACTAAATGGTCGCCTATCTCATGTCGAAGGTCTGCGGAGTTGCTGCAGTCTGTTGATGTTCTGGTCGACAATTATGTCTGCTTTTTAAATCAGAATTCGAGTTCTTGAAAAGCAGTTGCCTACAAAGCGCTGTTGCACAAGTATCCGGCAATAGCTTGATGAGCAATGTCAAAGCTTGCCAGTGTGTTAGTTTTTCGGCGTAGGAGATTGGTTGACTGTGAACAGTAGCTTGGAATAAATTATACCACATGTTGCATTACATCTGATCATCTTCGCTTTTGTCACGTTGGTTTTTCGGTTGTCCTGATGTCTTGTAATTTGAGATTTAATCGTCATGTAACCGTTAGAGATTAAATGGGCGCAGTTTTCAGTTCTATTATCAGTAAAATTATGTCTGTGATGTATATTTCAAATTGTAATTGAGTTTTTTTTCAGTTATAACTTCATAACTGAAAAAAAACTCAATTACAATTTGAAATATACATCACAGACATAATTTTACTGATAATAGAACTGAAAACTGCGCCCATTTAATCTCTAACGGTTACATGACGATTAAATCTCAAATTACAAGACATCAGGACAACCGAAAAACCAACGTGACAAAAGCGAAGATGATCAGATGTAATGCAACATGTGGTATAATTTATTCCAAGCTACTGTTCACAGTCAACCAATCTCCTACGCCGAAAAACTTCAGTTATGAAGTTGTGAGCAAGGATCTAAATTCATAATTGCAAACAAAAAAAATTAGACTCACTATTTCTTGCGCGATTTTACAATTTCAATTAAAATAATTTTGTCTTTGTGGTAGTAAAACTAAGAAAAATTCTTATATTCAATCAATTGCGCTGACTTTTAATTCATCTTTGCAATTTATTTCTGAAAGTGTTACTAATGTATTACAGAAATATTTCTACGACTATTATACTCCTTCAAACGTTCTTTTTTTTGCTATTTGAAAACGATACGAAATTTGAAAAGTACTTGTATTTAAACTGTTCTTTCTTACATGTTTTTGAGTAATTATATACTAGATTCAGCAGGAAGGACATAAAATATCTATTGAACAGGTGGTCCTGATTGCACTGCAAAAAAAACTTATATTAACAGAAAAAAAGTTACAGTAAATAATTTAACTTTCGGGTTCTCGTTTTTTGTATTTACAGTTCTTGATTCGTTTTTAATTCCCAGTGACGGTTCTTGTTTTATAAGGGCAAGAGGTAGATTATTAAAATCTACATAAATCTTCATAAATAAATTTATCAATATTTTCAGATCGATAAAAAAATTTTGGCGGAAACACTAAAAGCAACCAATTTAGTAAAAATTGTGGTTTTTGACGTTTTTGGAAGGCGTTGACTAAAAAATCACTGTTTTTTGGACGAGCGATACACTCAACATCTTAGTGTTGGCTGGGCGAGAATAATTTTAGTTGAAAATTTGAATGTTTTGAACTCACGGTAGGGTCGTTATGCCTGAGTTTGCGTTTTTTTACCCGCTTAGAACATAAATATCTTGCTTCCATAGTAGGAATTCGCCTCTCTGAGTGTACTGTTAGAGCGTCGGCTCTACTTAATTGCTAAATGTCTATATGGCTAGGACCTTACAATATATAAATTTGTCACATTAGAGGTACCAAAAGACACGTCCCCAATTTTCAACCCCTCAATTTCTTACACCTCAGAAAACTTCTCAAATTTTCATGATTAAATCGTAACAGACAATCGCAGTCGCACCAACGTGTTACGAGCTTGCCTATCGAATGTAACACTCTACAAAATGTTTTAAGCCGGTTATCCCTGCAAAGCCCTTCCATCCCCGCAACCTAGAACCGGCTACAAGTTTGGGGGAAATGAGATGAAATAGGTTGGAACAAAGTTAGGGGGCAAAAACGTTGTGCGGTAAAGTATCTAGGGTAAAAATGAATTGTATAAAAAGTGGTGGGGGAAAAACAGGCACGATAAAAAGAAATGAAAGCCATTAAAACATTGGTTCGTTTAGTCGTCGTGTTGATAATCCACACAAAAATGCAAAAAAAAATAAGTTTGAAAGTTTTTGCAGAAACTGTCCGATACTTTCTAAACCAAAAAGTGTGCGCTGCAGTGTGTTTCAAGATTCGATTTTTCATCTCTTTGATGCCAATCATAAAGCTGCCAGTCGAATATGTCAGGTTGAGTCGGGTTTTCAAAACTTAAAACAGGTACCACAAACAACGTGGTGCGAAATTTTGAGAAATATCTCATGATTGAGCTGTAATAATGAGGTGATGTGAGTCTAAAAAATTAGGTAAAGTTGTGCCAAAGGGGGAACCCTTTGGAAAATTTTGGCAACCAGGATGGAGGAGCACTCCTCCCCCCTCCTCGGCACGCTACTGTGTGAAACCTTTGCACTTGTTTCCAAAAAAAAGGTTCTTGTTTTTATGGTCGCTTAATTGCTGAGAAAAAACTGAGAAATAATTTTCAACCAGAAAATGACTGTAAAAATAAATGTATGAAACACTTAAAGAAATTTAAAAGCATCTGCGTTGCTAAAAAATATATTGGTCGTTATTCAGAGTGCCGGAACAAAATGAAAGCAAACCGGGCACATTTAATATATTGGCTGCGTTTTGTCGAAAACACTTAATCAACAAGCTTTTTTACGCAGAGAAGCTAAGCGTTATGTCTCTTTGCTATTTAAAAACTAGTTTTATGACATTTATTTTTGGTAAAGATTAATTTTAGGGAAAATTCAAGGAGGAATGAGCCGACAACTTCCAGGAAAAGTTTGCAGGGTTTTCAATCATGCATCTCCTGTGCACTTTTTAACTTTGTTCACGAGCATTTTGATTGGCTGTTGGAACTGGCGATTGACGATGATGAAGATGACGGGGTTGATGACCGAGTAGAGATAGAGGGCCAAGTCACGGTTCAGGTACAACACATATTCACCTGAAGAAGGATGCGAGTTTTGTTATTATCACATTATGTAATCACCTAATGCAATCACTTTATATATGTAATCACCTTATGTAATCACCTCAGATACGACATTTATTGAACTTGTTTTTAAAGTTTAGCAGAGCGTTTGGGCGTCAGTAATTCATAATCGACGTTAATTCATTACCGACACGACAATTCATAACTTGTGACATTTCGTAACTAGCGACAATTCGTGACAACGCCTTAACCGCTTGCTCCTCGGGTCCAGTCACATATTTCTAGCTTTTAAAAGTCGCGTCAAATGTCACTCGGCTGCCGAAAAGATGTCTTCTCGACAGGGCTTAATGGTAACGCTCAGAATAGGGAATTATATAATTTCAGTCGCGATTGTCTGAAAATTGAGATATTGGACGCGATTGTCTGGATATTTTACGCAAATTTACTGAAAAAAAAATCCCAAAATCTGGTGAAAGTTAGCCAGGACAAAAGACACGACTGCTACGCATGATCTCAAACAAAAGTCTGTGATGCGATATCTCCAATCAAAACTACTGGTTAATGAAGAATGAATGAGCATCACAATAAAGGTTAAAAAATGAATGTCAAAAAATTTTGAAAAAAAAAGAAATAGAAAAACCATTACTCGTGTATAAAAAACCTCATAAAACCCCAAAAGTTTCACAATATGGAAATGACTATTGATTAATTGTCCAAAAACAAACTCATGGCAATATCTGAGTCACGAATTGTCGCTGGTTACGAAATGTCACAAGTTATGAATTGTCGGTGCATATACAAAGCAGTCCAATACAAAACAGTCCCATACAATAGAGTCCGAAATATCAAAAAAAGGTTCTAAGAAACAGCCCCATACAAAACAGTTCAAAATCATGAAGTTGTAGTATTGCGAAATACTACACACACACAAAAGACCATTGTCTTAATTGTTTATTTAATGACCCAATTCTAAATTGGAGCGTGCCATTTAAATTAAAGCCTCTTTTCACTAAATCAGATATTGACTGATTTACTCTTATTAGGACTATAAAATCTTGTTTTGAAAATCCACTCCTTTTTAAATACTTGTCCAATTTTTCTCATTTTTTCATGCTCAATACTTTAAAAGGGCGGCGATTATTATTACGTCCCTTTTAACTTAACTTGAAACAAACTGGATAAATATTTAGCAGTCTTGCCGGCTGCACTGAAATTCTCCTTGCTTTGATTAAGCAGAGGTGCACCTGCAATATGATGCATCAGAGAGAGTAATATGAATTTTTAATAAGACAAACTGAAGGCTGCGGTTTTCATCAAAGGGGACTAATAAGTTGAAGATATTTGATTTGAAAAAATCAAATAAAAACTAGTTGAAAATTCCCTTATTAGAAAGGGAGAACAAAGGAGCAGGTGAAACCTGAATAATTAAAGATTGAATCAGCCGCCGGTTTATGCTTACGAGCAAAAGGACTGGCCTGAAATCTTCAGTGTTTCATTTTGCTCAGTCAGCAGCAAGTCAGTTCTCTTCAGTCAGATCTTTTAATAATAAATAATTTTTCTTTTCTGCCCTTACACTAAAATTAATCTAGCCCTTTTTACTTATAAAAAGAGAATAAATTCTCATTTTAAATTTGATTCGAAAAATTATAAATCGAGATACTCGAGATACGCACACCCGAGGAAGTCTGGACTACAAGTACCCAAAGGACTACGGCAAGACGATTCAGACGACCCAACCAGAAGTGCTGACTTGGACAAAATCAAGGGCAACCATACATACAAATCAGCCACCGACCTTAGTAAGAAGATAAAATATTGATGAACAAAATAAGATTAGCTCAACCTCCCCTCATAGGTATATTTCTTTAAGCTGTTCGATTCATTGATATAATCTAATAACCCAGTGCTTTGTATCTAACCAACTAATTAATTGATACCTTTTCTAACTATTGTTTCTACTCTACTTTTTGTCAAGACAATTTGACGATCTAAGGTGAGACTTATAATTTAGGATAAAATTACTAAGCATTCAACCAGCAATGAGCCCTTAGTAAAAATTGATCTACGCTTTGAAAAATCAAACATGGTAATTAAAGATCAAAGAGCCAAATATTGAACAATAATTCAGATCAACATCAAAGTCCTTATGGTATAATGGTTAAAGCACATTTTTTCTACCAGTATTTCCGCATTCTTTTGCTCGTCCATGAACTTCTCGATCAGTTTTGGAAATGAAGGGTGCTTACTGTTGACCAGTTTCACAAAATTACTGTTCCAACCTTCTACAGCGTTGTTGGTGCAGAGAAGGTCATTTTGTACTCTTTGATCGCAACTCTAGTTAGTGAGTTTCGTTTCTATTGAGTGTCGCCAAGTGTTCGCGAATGAAACAACTTCAAAAAAGCTGTCTTTTTTGCATGGATTGAAAAAAAGTCAATTTTTAATTGCGTTAACTTTCATGTTTCGCATATTATTGCTTTTAAGGAGTGGCCGCTGTTGTTTTCTAGGTTTTTCTAATTTCTCTTTTATACTACCTATTGTTAACCGGCTTAGTTGGAACCAAAATGGGTTTAATCTGAGATATTTTTTTATCAGCTTCTAGAACAATTTTTTCACTTCGATCAATGGGACTGTTTTTGGGACTGTTTTTTTGTACTTTTTTATGATTTCTTGGACTGGTTTTTAGTGGGCTGTTTTGTGTGGGACTGTTTTGTAAAGACAAGGAATTGTCGTGTCGGTTATGAATTAAGTCGATTATGAATTAGTGACGCCCAACCACTCTAATAAATTTTATAAACAAGTTCAATAAAGGTTGTGTCTTTGGTGATTACATAAAGTGATTCTAAATCTCCGAAGCACATTATCTGAATTGTCTAAAACCTAAATTTTTTGGCATATTTTAAGTTAGCAGCAAAAGTTAATTTGCCTAGAAGTGCCAACCCATCGCCCATTTTCTGTAGCCATACCTGCAGTCCACTCCTTCCTTCCTCTCCACTCGAGGATTGTGTTGGAGTCCCAGTAGTAGGTGTAGCTCCAGCACACAATCCACGCCACAGTGGTCGAGAAGAAACACTTGCACAGCAGAATGTTCCGCTTCTCCTTCTCACTCTTCTCCTTTCCCTGCCACGAAAAAAACAAAAGCGCTAGACGCCACTTTAATAGCGAACCCTTTTCACCATGGAACGCACCGTCTCTTACCTCAGTGCTGCGTCACATTCGGAGGCGGATCTTGGATTTTCTCGAGGGGGAGCCATTTTCAAACAAATTTAGTTCGACCACATATTTTTTAGGTCTGATTGATTTTGGGCGGTTTTTGCTTTTTTAGGAAGATTTTGATTAAATAAATTGCGCTCTTATTTGTGCCCTAGAATTTTTTTTGAGTCGGCTTTGCGTGGTGAGGGTAGTGAGAGGAGTGTGTCCCCCATTAAATCAGCCCTCATACACATTATATTTACAGCAGCTGTAGACACTTCTAATTGTTAAAAGTATAACTAAATATATAGAAAAAATAGCAACTATGAGCTTAAAAGGACTCGCTCTCCTGTCAAACCCCTAAAAGTGAGTAGAATTTCCAAATTTACCACCTCCTCCCCCCAATTTTTTCTTTCGTGAGTGGCTTGTTCATTTTTTGCAATTATTCATGAAGTTGACCTTGTTGTCGGCGTTGTTGTCTTTGTTCTTCGCGGCAGCAGTGGCGGGTTTTCTGAGTAGTTTAGCCGCCACTAAGCCATACATGACGAGACAGGCCATAGCTGGAAGGGCGAACAGAAGTGGGATGTCGAATAGGAACTTCGTCCTACCGTCTCTGTACAGTCCTCCGTTGCCTAAATAAATAAACTGCTACAAAAATGAACTGAACTGTTCTGGTTAAGCAAAAGAAATAGCCAAAAGTATCTAGATCTGGTACCAGAAATGTGCCCTTAGTATCATCTGGTCTCTAAAAATGTCTGAATGTTCATTGACAACAGAAAAACGGAATTACTTAACAATCTCCTCCCCCCCCCCCCCCCCCACCCCTTTCAGAAAGGGGGGATTTTTAAGTAGATTAAGTTAGTCGAATTTTCGACCAATCAGAATGCAGCAAAATTATAATTCTCTGTATAGAGCTCTAGCGCTAATTTACTGTATTTGTTCATAGGGGTGGAGATTTTTAAGTAGATGCCATATGGGGGGAGATTGTTAATTAGATCCAAAAAATCAACTGATTCAAAAATGAAAAGGTCATGTTATGCAAAATGTTGACCATAAATACCTGGTTTTCGAACATTAGCAGTGAGTTCCAAAAACAAATCATGCTTGGCAAAATGTTTGTTTCCAAAATTGTGGTACTCTTCCCGTTTTCTTTTACCTGAATATCCGCATCTTCCGTTGTCCCCCCTGAATATGCCCATGACCATGGACACTGTGAAGATGGGAATGCCAATGGAACAACCCATGTACGTCCACCTTAGCCACAAAAAACAATCGATATAAAACAAACAGTGTTTTAGTTCTTAAGACAAGCAAATTCAGACTTATCTCTAATGATATAAGATTGATATAAAACAAAAACCGTTTTCTTGATAAAAAGCTAGTCGCCAAAAATTCATTTTCTTTTTTCTTCTGAAATTCAGTTAATTTATTAATTTGTTAGGAGATTTTCAAAACCAGTAAGGAAAGCGCAGTGCCCAAAAACTAAAAGCTTCAATTCATCGAGCTGTTACAAAACTTTTTCTAGCTTTTCAGTAGAATTATAAGCCCAAAAAAGTATTCTCTTTCCCCCTATATCACTATTTTTCAACAATTGTTGAACTACTGCTAGAAACACGATTATACTTAGCCTAAAAAGCTTGTGATAAAATAATATAAAAAGTATTGTTTTGAAGTAATTAAGTCACTTGTTGAGCAACTGTTTGGCTCTGAATGGGAACACGACCACAATCAGTCTTTCCACGGCGAGGAAAGTGAGCACGAGAGGGGTGCTGTACTCGTTAATGAGTCGTGTGGCCTCGTTGAACTTGCAGGCCTTGTAAGTGAGCCAATCCATTCGCGTCCTGAATCCCCAGGTGTCGTCTATCCAATTCTAGTAGAACAAAAGTCACCAAGGCTTCAATCTGACTGTGATTTGTTTTTAAAATTTTTAAAAAAAGATCACAAACTAAAATTCTTTTTAATAGTTTAAATAGCTCGGAGGAGCAAAGAGGTGAGACTTGTTCCAAAAAATGGTAAGTCTAGAAAACTTGAACTTGAACTTGATTTCATTTATCCAAACAAAATAAAAAGTTAATGAAATTAACATAATTTATTCTATAGAAGGGCTGTTGAAAAAGCGTTTCAGCTCATTGCCAACCACCCCGAAAATGCAAAACAAAAGGAAAAATAGAAAGGTGGGCTTCTCTAAAAAAATGTTTTTTATATAAAGACTCATTATCTATGATAAAACTTTTGCAAAAGTTTTGAAAAAATGTTTTAAATTCGCTTGTTTTCAGCGTTTTGATCACTCGAGAGATTGAAAAGACTCTATCATTTTTTAAAGACCTTTTCATGACTGTGCTGCGAAAGGGCACAGTTGGCAGCAGACCTTTGCTGGAACTACGAGTGATTCAATGATTTGTTACATTCTCTTTTTTTCAACAATTTATCCCCTTCTTGGTGTCTTGAATTTTCAGGAAACTACTTAAGCAAATCACACAGATAAATTTCAAAACACGTTGAAATTTTTTATACTATTTCCGTAATTTTTTTAATTTCTCGTAATCTTTCTCTGAAAAGTCAGTATTTCCTGTCAGTAGGTGAGTTTTATAAGTGTTACCATGAACTAAAAAAAACCGTAAAAAATTACTGACTCAACGAATGACTGTTGAATAAAACGAACGACTTTTGAAAAATGCAACCAGGGGTTATAAACTATTCCTGAGAATTAAGCCAATTTTTTGCAATATTAAGAACTATGTTGAAAGAAAAACTAACTAAGATTCAAAATTTAAACCCAAATAAGAACGAATTCTCAAATTTTTGTCTTCTCAACCCAAATTCGATTTCTTGACAATCACTTTTTGCCCAAAATTTTTATTTAGCACTGAACTATATTTTTTAGTACTGAACGTTAAGCCATTCATAATCGTTAAGCCATTCAGTAAGCTTAATATTTGTATGAAACGTCCTGTAAACAAGATATATAAAACATGCTAATCTCGTCTACCGCTTGTTGATTGCGTTTCTAATAAACTCAAAGCATCAGCGCATGATTTTCAACTTATCAAAGCATCAGCGCATGATTTTTTGGGCTAAAAAGCCAAACTGTTTGTCAAAAAGAAACTTATTCGGAGCAAACAAAATGTTTTAATGGTTTTTCAAAATTATGAAAAACGCACTTCATGAACTTTAGAACGCCAAAATTTACTGGGATCTTTCAGGTCATCACTCTAATAAAGGTGAATAAATGTTGCTATTTTAAATCTTTTTATCGTAGACATTATGTTTGCCAGTTCGGACTATTATGGTTATTTTTGCTTCTGCTTAGAATATTTTGCTTTCAATCATTGATGATTTGTTCCTGACCAACTAATATCCGTTTTTTGAATTGATTATTTAGTTTTGGTCATTTTTTTCATATGTCAGTTTATCCAATGCTTGTTTCGAGTTTCCAGTTTTTCCAAAGGTGCATATTAAATATCAATTTTACCAGCCTTGCCAATGATTCCTTGCACTAGGAAGTAAAATACTTTGCAACAAAATGAAAACTTATTTTCATAAATTTTCACTTTTCGAGACCTGTACAAACAATCATATTTTTTAGTTTTTGATTTTTCATTAAAATCTTCTTAAATTAGATGTCCATAATGATTTCTTATAGCTGGTTCCAAAGTTAAACAAAGTCTGTAGTACTTTGATAAACAATTATCAAGGCAATATTTTGATACTGTTTTGAATTTTGTGATGCTTGAACTTTGTGAATAAAAACCAAAATAATTTGACTTTTGAAAAAAAATCTGTGTTTTCCTTGCAATTGGCGGTAATAAAAAACAAATCAGCACACGTTTTTTGATATCCAGAAAAAAAAATTTGTTCCAAACTTAGTGAGTGATAATTGGTTGAAGAAAATTCAAAAATTCCGTTCCGGTAGAAACGTTGTATGGGTTGATATAAACTGTAATAGACGTTTGCGCGGAAAGATTTTGCTGGCTTAAACTTGCATGCGTTAAAAGTTGATGTGAAGTGGACAGAGCAGTAGATTTTTCCTAGTCTTGTTTCTTTTAAATAATGTCGCGTTTGCGGTTTTGAAGTGTAAAGGCTTATCTTAGGAAGCCCTGAAATTGAAGTAGAGCGTAGAAGCTATGTCGTCGCTAGATTTAAGCAAACCTCAAAAACTCCTTATTAAAAGCTAATTTTGGTTACTTGAATTCATAGGAATTTCTTCTCTTCACTTGAAATTGCTTTGTTTGAAATCAAACTGTTTCAGCTGCTGGAACTGTTATTTTAAAAGTAACGGATTTCGGCGTTTTACTGTGAAAGTTTTTTCTATCGACTTGAGATTGCAGTAATCCTTTGAACTCTTCCATCAGCATGCGGACTAGAAAATAACGGTCCCAAATCCGACACAAAAGGCATTATTTGCAGCCATGACGTAAACTTCATAAAACTGGCTTTTTTTCAGCTTATTGCAGTCTTAAGTTTAATTCACAGAAAATCACTGAACCTGATTTTATATGTATCTTTGGGCTGACTTTGCAGTACAAAAGAGCACAATTATATTTGCTAAATATATATCAAATATACATAAAAACAAGTATTGCTGGTTTCTGTGAGGGTGGAACCAAAAGTTCCAGCCAAAATAATGAAAAAACTAGAAAAAGTGATTTTCGTGTTTATTTCATACATTTTGTAAGCGTGTTGCGGCTAAAAAATTAAATAATTCATAAGCATTTACTAATTAAGGCATAATCAAATTCAGTTGTCTCCACAAATGAATCAACAAAAAATAACAAAAAATCGAAAAAAAAATTACTAAACTTTTTCAATTTTCTGCTCAAGGATGTTTTATACAAGATACAGGGAAAATTTCAGTCAATAATTTTTTCTAGCAATGATTTTTTTCTGAATATTGAAGAAAACGACAAAATATTTATGTTCGAGGTGGTTTTGTGTGTCTCCAGACAAGTTTCGACTTTTTAACTAGCAGTTTTGATTAATTTCTTTTATGTCATTCAAAAGATATTGCTGTCCT